TAATATTTCACCTTTTAATTTCAATTATCTGACTTTCAGTTACCGCCCAAGTAGAGGGAAAATTTGTTAGGATCGAGTTGGCGCATTGTAAATTTTAAAGAGTTAATAAAGGGTACGTGAATCCATCTCCTTGTAGTTTCCTGTCATTCCAGTATACAGATAGAAGTAACCCACCTAGACTCTACACTGTAACAGAAAGATTAAGCATGAAAGTTTAATATCTTACACTTATTGAATGGCAGCGTACTGGTGCGTCGGAACAACAAGTATTCTATTTGAGGCGGTGGTAACAAATTACTTTCGAATAGCCGAATTTGTGGATTAGAATAGAAAGATTTTACACTTTTCGAATGGCGACAGTCTGGCACGCTGGAGATAAAAATATTTTTTTTTTCATTGTCTCACTTTCTGATTGTTGAGTTTGTTAAGCAAAAATTCATTAAATTTGTAAAAAATAGATTCGTTAAATTTGTAAATCAAAAACAGATTCAGAATTCAAAATTTCGGGCTTCGAAATGATTATGTTAGAGGGGAGGATTACGTGTATTAAAAATTCGTTTTTTCACTGTGGGAGGAACATAAATGCATAGATATATACAAATATTTCACTATTTATTTAAAAAAAAAAGTAATACATCGTGATAACATTTGCTGGCAACAATTTGAAAAGCGATTTGGAAAAAAAGTGCGTTTCGAGATCAATAGCACCTCTGGTGCTAAAACAATTCTAGCCTCATAGCTGCTTTTAGATAGAGCATTCAGACGCTATGCAGTTTGGGATCACTTCCTCAGCAAATACCGTATTTATGAAAGTAAAGGCCTCTTATTAGACCTCAGACTTCATAATGAGTGCCATTCGATCTCATCTCCGCCATTTGATTAGATTCGTGGCCGTTTTCTAAGTTTTTCTAATTGTTTCATGCGATTTTTAAAAGGTCGTTACGAATAAAATAAAGTAAAAAAAAAAAAACTTGAACTATAGGAATTGTTTCAGTTCAGTTCTGTGATCTCTTCTTTAACAGAATCAGCCTCGTTTTGCTATCATAAGTCTAGAGCTAAGTTTTAACTTCTTTCCAAGCTTCGACGATGAAGTTATAGTTTTAAAAATTTTTAATTCCTTCCCCAAAATCTCTGCTCTCTTTTTTTTAAAGTCTAAAGGGATTTTGTCCCTGAAGGATTATTGTTTTCGTTTCGCGATTTTGTGTCGGAACACTATAAACGACGTATCACTTTTCCGATCGTTGCAACCAAATACTATCGCCCTGTGTTATAGTTGAAGAAATTAAATAATGAAGAATCTGCATAAATGTATGTATGTTTATCTCACTGGGATAAAACAATGGTACCTAGAGCTATCCAATTTTGAATGACGTAATCCTACTGCGAATATGGGTCTCTGAAAGCCCAAATTTGAAATTCGGAATTTGTTTTATTATCGATTTTGTATTTTGAAAACCTTTAACGATTTTTTGATTAATAAACTCAACGACTTAAAAGCGAGCAATGGCAACACTCCACGGGAGGGGAACTTTTCATTTCCAGGGCGCGGAACTGTGTATCGGAAATTTTAAAGATATGATTCTAAAGATTCATTTTAAAATTATTTTGCGACATTGTTGTTGAACTGAATTTTATGGTTAAGTGCAAAGAACATGATGTTTAATAAATAAATGTAACACACAAAACGTTAAAAAAACGCCCTTTTGGACGTAATTTAAAATTTGAAACCTTTCAGATTTTTTTATTGTATTTTTATGTTTCCTGACTACCCACTCAGAAGAAACCTATAACTTTGGCTTAAGAAAAAGTTCTACATAGCTTTTTTACTCTTTTGAATTGTTTATTTTACGAACAATTTCTCACGCAGTTTTTTGCATTTTACACGCAAAAAAAAGTTAATTTTCAACAAGTCAAAATTTTCTTTAATTATCTATTAAATAAAAGCAGAAAACCATATATTATTGCTATTATTATTATTATTTTTTTTTTCATTTTCCGCAAATACGGGTACAGAAGTTTTGGCTGAATTTTTATAATGCAGCATATTTTACAATGACAAAGCACACTAGAATTTAAAAGGCATAGAAAGATTATGATAGTACCTACAGTGTTCACAATTTCCTATAATCCTATATGCAGATAATAATATTAAATTACAATTTATGAGTGATGTTTTCTTATTACAGAAACAGGTCAAAAATATGTAAACATGTAACAGAATTCACCTTCCTACTATATATTTAATAGCGTTAGCAAGTGAATACACTTTTACTTGATACGTTCTCTTTAACCTAATGAGCATCTGTTCAGAACTTAAATACGATATCTAATAAGTAAATATTTTTACTCCAGGATACCATAGCTTGTTCAGTTTACAAATGTTCTTAATATATCCCCCCCCATATTGCTAGTTGATGTGTATGCATATAATGTGTTACGTTTTTTGGGAGAACGATTACTACTACCTCATAACATCCTAGCTCAATGGTGGCGAATCTTTTTGGGGCCCCGTGCCCATAATCGTTTTTTTTTGGAGGGGGAGGGATGCCGCCTGCCCAAAATCTCTTTGATTAAATCCCCATCGGAGAGCGGTTTACCATGTTTTGCCAAGCACAGTGAAATTTGAAAGCGCTGGCCGTTGTTAGATGGTTTGTTTTAGAAAGATAATTGCAAAAACCAACTTCTGGTAATTATAATTCCTCAATTTCGTGAAAACGTTTACGGTTCAGCTTCACCAAGTTCGGCAACAATCTTGTGGTTGGTGTTAAAGTGCCGTCTGACACTAGATGTGCGACACACAACACTTTCCTCGCACAGAATGCTTTCCTATTGTGTTCAATAACTCCAAGTGATTATGTCCAGGTCTCTTGAAATTATCTTCCACTATCAATATTTAATTTTGCCTTTTTTGCTGAGTCATTTGTGAAAGTTCAAGACCTGAAGTCTAGAAAAGCACAAAATATAAAAATGAAGCAGTAAATATAAATCGATCATATACTAAAAACGGGTTGCTAAATTTCTAACTTTATATTTTATATGTTCCTTTTCGATTTTATTGGGCTTATTTTGGCTGAGCGCATGTGAATAAACTTGCTTTCCCTACTGAGCTTTCGTGTTTTGCCATATTATCAAATTGCATGATTTTACATTACATTTGTACATTCCGTTTAAGATATTAAATTAGAATTATTCATAAGTTACCTTAAAATGCTTAGATCTGAAAATTTAACAACGAAATTAGTAACAATGAAAGTATTAAAACTTACCTCGTTTAGCAAACATTGGCTGCTTCAACTTTGGCATATTCTTTGCCATGTAATAGTAATATGATTGGCCCAAACAATTGAAGCCTCATAAATTGGGAAAATAAATATGCATATCATTTCTATGGCGATATATGATAATCTTATATCTAGGCTTGGCCCCTATGCCAGTGGCATTATGCGATAAGTAAGTAAGTAAAACGTCCAAGAACAGACTGAAACATATTTGATACTGCGATATACTGTATTGTACTGGGTTTCTATTGCCGGAGCAATACTTCCCCGTCATGCAAGGAGTTCCATGAGGAATCTGGTATTAGAAAATTCCTGATTGAGTTTCCTCTGAGGGAAGAAATAACAAGGAGAAAAGGGGATTACGGCAGAATTTTTCGCCTGGGCTCAGGAGCTGACGCGAGCTATTTGCAACACTGGTGCAACCAAGAACAAGTAATTACTCCAAAGTCCGTAAGATGCTCGTAGCCTGCTGGCACTTCACTGTGATTGGTCGGAATCCTGATTGGAATCATTGTCAGAAGACGTGATGTGGAAAGATGCACACGGAGCGTCAGCACGGAGTACTGACGAGTAACACTTATTTATTGGCTTGCCTAATTGAGTGTGCAGCATAAGGTCGGATGAGCAAATCGTCCGGGATGATTTCATTGCTCAGAATATACTCAAAGTTAGCTGTACTGTTGGTCTTTGCTTTCCTGAAAAAGTTTCCATTTATCTTGGATAAGTAGTCTTTGATATAAATAAATATGAAGGTTGCGATGTAAATCTTCATTTCTAATATAGTATGGGGCGTTCGTTATGGTTCTCAGGATCTTATTTTGCAGAACTTGCAGCCGGTGAATTTCACTTGCCTTAGCACTTGCCCAGGCCGAGGATGCATATGTGATAACAGGCCTGACAATTGCAGTGTAAAACCTTCTTTTGCGTACAAGCTTTAATCCAGAGTCCTTAGAAAGTAGTGGGTAAAGCTTTTTCACAATGCCGTATGCTTTTCCACACACACTGTTTAGGTGTGCATTCCAGGTAAACGATCGATTTAAAATGACTCCTAGGTATTTTGCCGTACTTACAGTAGGAACTGTTTTCCCGAAGAGCGTAGCATTACAGGTGAGGGGTCTGTGGTCTTGAATTTTCTGATAACTAAAACTTTTGACTTCTCCGGGTTGATCTCAATTTTCCATCTTTGACACCATGCTTCAATAGAAACATATTTAAATTGCATAGTATCATTTTATTGTGATTATTGATTAGGGGAAGTAATATTTTAGTCGCGTGCCGACTGTGGCACGCGTGCCATAGTTTCGCCATCACTGTCAAAGCCTAAAATCTTAGCCAATGCCATCTTAGCCAAAGATTCGCCATTAAAGGGCTCAGCGCATGCGCAAGAATTCTACAGGCAAAACCCAAGGAGGTTCTTTGCCAGTCGATTTTTCCGTGACGTCAAAATTTAAAAATATTGGGTTTGGAAATACGCAATACCGACTCTACCTAGACCAACTAACTACGACTATACTACGACATCTAAGTCAAAGAATCTCTAAGGTCTCCTTAACAGACTTTTTGTCTAAGTAGAGCTGGTGCATACGGAGAAGTAAGACAAGAGCATATTACTTCGGGCATAGAAGAAATACTATGATAAAAGCAGTTCCAAATAATTTTAGAAAATTCTTTCTCGAATAACTGGAAAATTTAGAGTTGAATTAATATTCCCTTTTATAACTCATTGAAATTATTAATGTATTCAATTAAGAAAAGATCTGAAGTTTTTGCTTATTTTGAGACTGGCAACCGTCGTTTTGGGTTATTACATGTGTTTTGGTTGCAATAAGTGATAATTATTTATCTCTCTTTTTTTTTTTTTTTTAAATATATAACATAAAAATGTCTTTTCTGATGCGCAAAAGAGTCTTTTTAAATCTGCACAAATGTAGAATTTTTATGAAAAATTTTAGGAATGAAAATTCATATCTTTTAAATCGCTGTTGTAGGAGAAATGTGGTTGTCTCTCAACAATTGTAATTTTTTTTTCCTTTTCCAGATGAATTTTATATATGTTTTCAGGAGAAAAGTTTTACTATGATATTATTTTATTAATTCCACGAGTTTAAAATATTTATTTTTTGTAATATGACAGGTGTTTAGCTACAGTTGCCCATCAGCATAAATTAAACGAAGATTTGCCGGCAATCAAAAGCGGGAATATCAACGATGCTTCTATTATAAAAGAAATTGATAAAGATCTATCAAATATAGATTGGACTATCAGACGTTCAGGTCGTATAAATAGAAGGACGGTAGAATCAGTGTTTTTAAAGATGAAAAATGCCGGTAAGATAAAGACATTTTTTTAAAGTTTTAATGTTGCTTTTTAAGAGTACAATATAGAACTGCATTTTGATACTCCTGATTTATGTATTTACGTTACTTGATGAAATAATTTCTTTGTATTAGTAAAATCCGAATTTTAGTTAGAAAATTTAATAAAGGTTGGAGCAGATATTTGATTATGCTTAAGCATTCAAGATCCTCAGGAAGAATAATTTTATTTAGAATTTTCTGAAGAAGTTTGGGCTTTCTGAAGAAGGCTCTAGTTTGGGGAAACTACATGAAACCATCATGTGTTAAGTGTTTATTTAATTATTAGGAATAGAACTCTGGGTGATATCTGCAGTTCCAGCTATTTATGTAAGATGGTTCTAAACCTGCTTATCATGTGCATGCAAACATATAAATTTTAAATATCCATTAGTGACAGTATTTACTTAGTGAATTAAACATGAAATTAATCATTTTAATGCATTTCGTGTGTCTGAAGTGATTTCATAAATACAACAAACGAGACAAATATATCCTTAAGGGTAGATTAGATTATTTAATTGCGTCAAAGCTCATGGGAATAATTAATTAATAATAACAGGAATTTTCAAAACCTTCATTTGCGTATATACACAATTTGCTTAAAAGAGCTCAATGACTTCTGTGAATTTGTTGAAATCAGTTATCAAAAACTTTCCCCCGGTAGGATGACTAGCTTTGGGTAACTTTATTTCCAGCAGTTGAAGAAGTTATTATATTATTTCCTGCTCTGAAGACTCATTTCTGTGTCGACCTACAAAATCAAAATTTGTTTCTATTTTGTTAAGATTATTTGTTTTGCTAACGAAGTGTCAAAACTATAGGTAGCTTCTCATTTTAACAAGCATGTTTGACATAATAAAATTTGTGCCACAGCTGGAAAAAATTCTATTTTAAAAGTCAGTAGCCTGCTAGTTTCAGCACTGAACTCTCTGAAAACCATTTAGGGATTAAAATTTTGGCCCTATAACATTCAGTAGAAAAAAGGAAGAAATCACTTGATTTTTGATTAACAAACTCAATGATTTAAAAGCAAGCAATGGCAACACTGTATGGGGGAAAAGAAAAATGGGTAAAAGTAATATTTTAAAGTACCCCTTAGCGATTTTTGGCGGTGCATGGATATCGAGTTTGTGCAATTCTTTGACTTGTTATTTTGGTTTGCGTAGGCACCAAAAATCGCCGCTACACAAAGCCAAAATAACAAGACAAAGAATTGCACAAACTTGGTATCCATATACACATCGACCTATTTTCACTTAAAAAAATCCTAGAATTGCAGAAAAAGGGAATTTTGCACTGCCTTGACTTTATCCATGTACACATCAACCTATTTTCACTTAAAAAAACGTCAGAGAATTGCAGAAACTAGGCTTTGCGCACTCCCTTGACTTTGTTCATGTACACATCAAACTATATTCATTTAAAAGGTCAAAGGAGCAGCCAACAAAAAATATATAATTTAAATAAACTACATTTTAAATCAAAGAATGAAATAGCATAAAAAAGGAAATTCATCTTAGCACTACACAAAGGAAATATCCACTTACCTTATTTATGAATTTACACATCTTCAGTCAAATAAAATTTCTTAACAGCATCCCAACACTTCCTAAAATTATTTGAACTAAATCTGTATACTGGTGTCACCACATAAATTCACAAAAATAATAGTAAAAAATATTCCCGTGTGAAAATTTCCGATATTCAACCATATGCATTTCCTTCCTCCAAACAGGATACTTAATAATGGCTACTAAGTAAACCTTAATTTACACACCAGTCAATTAATGCCTTTTTTCCCTTTCGTTGCAAATCCTACAGAAACTTCAAATTAATCTTATCACATTCAGCCAATTTATCATGTAAACCACAAATAACAACGTACTTATCTAACATACACAAGCCCTTACCCAAAATCCGACACGCACTTCCAAAATTTTTTCCCATGATTCAAATTCACCGTAACCAATTATGTTATGATGGGGTTTCCATAGCATTCAACTACTTAGGTTGTCGTAAATGAGACAACAATTTGGCGATAAATGAAACAACTTCCCAATAATACAAGGTGTACCCTAAAGTCAACTCTAACCAAACATTTTTATCTCCAGCGTGAGACTGTATATTGGAAATTCTAAAGATATGCTCATTTAAAAATTATTTTGTGATATTGCTGTTGAACTGAATTTTATGGTTTAACTGCGAAGAACATGATATTTAATAAATAAAGGTATCACACAAAATGTTAAAAAAAGCCCCTTTGGGCATAATGTAAAATCTGAAAGCTTTTAGATTTTTATAGTTATTTTTTATTATTTATTTTATTTATTTTCCTGTTTCTTCATGACTGCCTTCCACAGGGCACCGGCACTTCTGATTTTAGAAATTAAGCCCTGATTATAATGAGATATAATATGAAACGGTTGATCTTTACATTATGGTAACTTGGCGATTTTTTGGCGAAAATTTGCTGACCAACTCTCCTACAGCAACCCTCATTTTTTTTTCCCCGCCGCCATTTTGTCTTCACGAAATAAACACATGTTTCTTTTCTTTTTATCTCCAGAACACTTCTTCCAACAATCTATTAGCCGAATTACACTTATGCTAGAAATTTTATCTAACAAAACTGCTTAATCATGACAAATATTCACTGCAAAATTTGGGAAAAAGTGCACAATACCATACTCCTTACGCGTTTTTCAAAATAACACATACACATAAACCATGTACACGTCGACTTATTTTTACTTAAAAAAACATCCCAGAATTACACAAAAATGGCATTGCGCACACTCTTCACTATATCCATGTACACTGCTTTTTTCTCATAAATTAGAAAAATTTCACGAAAATACATGACAATTTTCTGAATCTTTAAACCCGGTAAAAAGAACATATATGAAATTACCTGATCGCGAAAAAGTATATACCCTTTCCAAATATGAACATTTCCACATATAAAATAAATAAAATATCCAAAAACTTTTACCTCTAAATCATCTATTATATTATAAACATCACCAACGAATTCATACCGCAAGCATTACAAATACTTAGTGTCAAATATTTAAATTATTTCCATGCACGTTTACTTCAACTTAAACGTATACCAAATTCCTACAAACATAAAATTCACAAAATAACTATCATTTAATTAAAATATCACTAAACCATGTACACGTCGACTTATTTTTACTTAAAAAAAAAATCTCAGAATTGCACAAAAATGGCATTGCGCACACTCTTCACTATATCCATGTACACTGCTTTCTTCTCATAAATTAGAAAAATTTCACGAAAACGCATGACAATTTTCTGAATCTTTCAACCCGGTAAAAAGAACATATATGAAATTACCATGATCGCGAAAAAGTATATACCCTTTCCAAATATGAACATTTCCACATATAAAATAAATAAATATCCAAAAACTTTTACCTCTAAATCATCTATTACATTATATAAATGTCACCAACGAATTCATACCGCAAAGCATTACAAATACTTAGTGTCAAATATTTAAATTATTTCCATGCACGTTTACTTCAACTAAAACGTATACCAAATTCCTACAAACATAAAATTCACAAAATAACTATCATTTAATTAAATAAATAATTAAATTCAAAAACACTACTTAAAATATAAATAAGCACATACATTAAATTAATAAAAATTAGCTTACAATCCTAATTACTTTAAACTAAATCATTGCTAATAACAATTTTCCCAATAATACCAAATTACTTTACTTCCACCTTACATTTACAACAATGCATAAAAATAATATCCTCAAATAATTAAAAAATACTAACTTACCTAATCTTCTTCAGAATCTTGATTACGTGGCGGATACACTTTTCTTTATTCTGTTTCAGAATCTTTTAAATCATACTTATCTTTCAAAGCAAGATACCAGGTAAAATAAAAACATAATAAAACATCTTTATTCTCTCTCCACAACCTTAAAAAACATTTATTACTATCCTTTTCAATACCACTAAAACACCCATTTCGAATTCACTTTACCTTACGGCCATGGATCCAAAAATTCACAAACCACTATTTCACACACAACACAGAATAAAGCCAAATACAAAATTGCCAGATTTTTTTCCCGATTAAAGAACAGTAATTCGTCCATTTAATATCACATAACATATCCCATGATCTCTCATTTCCCTCACACAAAATAATGCGTAATCAGAACTGAATACTACTCACATTCTTAACAAAGTCTAACTAACCTAATTTCTTCCGAATCTTCCTTACATGGTGGATACACTTTTATTATGGATTCAATAAAATTACTGAACGATTTTTTTTTTTCCGAATTTGATAGAATTTAAAAAAAAAATTTCTCTTATCACACCTACAATTCACTTTAGACAGCACCATACAATCCCAAAATTATTCAACCCTACTTCACACAACACACAATGAAGCTTAATACAAAATAATATACATCCACAGATACTTGTCCAAATTCCCCCCCTTTTCCGATTAAAGAACCGTAATTCGTCCATTAATATCACATGACATATCCCATGATCTCTCATTTCCCCCACACAAAATAATGCGTAATCGGAACTGAGTACTGCTCACATTATTACCAAAGTCCCAGGTAGTAACCTTTATCGCCTCCAAAATGTCGCCAAACTACCAGTTACCATATTGTAAAGATCAACCTATGAAACATATAACAAGTGAAGAATTTTAGAAATAGTCGTTGCAGAAACATAATGCTGTTTTTCTGTAAGGAATTGTTGCTACTATAAACAAGTATCATTCTTCCAGTCTAGTAAAAAACATGCATTCATCACTAGCCCAATTATAACTTAGCTGTTTTAAAAATTCAATAGTAAATAGGGTCTTTCTTTTTTATGAAAAGAAGAATCAATCTTCATCACTAGCTCAATTGTAATGTAAGCTATTTTAAAAATTTAAAAGTAAATAGGGTCTTTCTT